TGGTTGAATGGACATGGGGAATCAGGTAGAAAGAAGGAGTGTGCTGTCACAGTATGGGGAGAGCAATTAGAGTCACATAACAATGTATGTATACATTTTTGTATGGGAAAAAATAAAAAGTCATGAAACTAGCTCAGCTCCAATCATCAACTTTGTAAAGAATCTACAAAACTAGTTTATGTTAAAATGGCTTTGATGGCTTACATTTGAAGCTGAATGACAGGAGAGATGGGGCATCCCAAAGCCTGGTACCAGGAGATTCCTGTTTATTTCATAATAGCCCAGATTTCAGTGGGCATTCAGAATTAGGAATCTAAATTCTTTTTAAATCAATAGCTGGTGAACTGATTCTACTAGACATAATTATTCTTAAGTGAGATCAAGCCTGCTTTTGATTCTTATGTCAGGGGAAAGGAAACTACATGGCCGAGCTTAATTAACTATGTAATTGGGTTATTAATTTAGAAAGCAGATCTGGATTATTAGGGAAAAGATTCAGATTTGGTCAGATTTTTTACAGAGATTATTACCCACACACACAGACAAAAATTGGACTTCTTAACTGATTTCTATTTCATTAGCTAACTTTATTCAGATAGCCTCTGAATGGAAGGAAAAAACAATCCATTTGCCACCTAAGGGCAAGAAGAGACTTTTTAAAACTTTTTTTTTTTTTTTTTGTTCAGAGCTGAGAATTTAAATTCAGCCATAGTGCTAAAGTATTTATTTTAATGGTTTTAATTAAGCACAGAACACTTTCTAACACAATCTCTAATAAAGTGTCTTAAAAGAGGAACTGGTTAGATTTTAGTTTTCACTTCCCATGTGTATTGTACTTAGTCCCGGTGGATGGGGTGGGTGGTGCGAAGCCTGAGGGTTGATGTAAGGTTCAGGTATTGAACGTAGTAACCACAAGGTTGGCTAATATCTGTCCATTTCCCTGGCAAACTAAACGTTCCATCTGAAGGTAATATTCTGTCAGCAAAAGCCTGATCTCAGATGGTGAAGACAAGAGAATGATTCTTGCTGTGAGATTTGAAGAGAATGAGCTCTCTAAAATGATAGGGAAATAGACCTTGGAAGTTTTATCAAGCCTGAGGCAGACTGCTCTCTGCTACACCCATACCTAGGTCTTACTCATCCAAGCGCAGACGCAGTATAAGAAGTTCGTGAAATCGACAGGCTTTCTGGGGAGTGAACAGTGGGCAGTGATTCACATTGTGAAACAGCGAGTGCATTTGTACCCAGTGGCCTTCTTTTGCTGCTGGGGCCCAGGTGAGTATCTTAATGGGAAGAGCTGGGCAGAGAAGAGGGCAACTGTTGGGTTCTGGCCAGGTAAAGTGGTCTTACCAAGAAGGATGACTGCAAATTCCTGTCCAGCTTGTAAACTTTACATTGACCCCACCCATATTGTCCATTTTCATCTTATGATTTTATTTCACTGGATTAAGATAATTTAGACATGAAATGCAACCTGATATATGAGAGGAAAAATGTCCTGACAAAACCCAGAGATATTAATGCCTGTCCTTCTACTACATTAGGTTGTAGTGAGGATCAGATTGTATAATATTTAAGAGCTTGGGTAAACTCTAAAATGCTAAGAAGTGTAAATTATTATCTTCCCGTAGTATGTCTTACCACCATTACCACACTAATAATCTTCAAAGTTTAATCAATAAGGAATAAAAATTTGAGGCCCAATGCTCAGTGGTTTACATACAGTTAATTTCACTGCTGGTCTTCATTATGCATATAGTGTCCATTCCCTGTAATTCCATAGTCATGCTTAGGTATTTGTACCTAGGAATTATATGTTTTGGGCAACTGGGGATGACAACAAGATTTATGCTTTGTGTATTCACAGCTGTCATTCTGATGATCATAAAGCTGACCAAACCACAGGACACCAAGCTTCACATGGCTCTCTATGTTCTCCAGGTAACACCTACAACATCTAGCATCTCTGCTCTTAACACCTTCTTATCCTATTCTCTTACACTCCTTTCACTCAGTATGCGCAATTATTTTTCTCAGGTTATTTATTTCTGCATTGCAAAGGAGAAAATGTATTATTTTTACTGTTATGAAAAAATGTGAAATTTTCCTTCCAGATAAGATAGGTGCTTTTGTCAAAGTGCTGCCATACATTCCACAGCTTATTTATCTGGTCAACTTCATTTCATTGATGTGTTTTTAAGGAATGGGCAGCAAAAAACAAGGACCTACTAGGGCATGTTCTTATGAAATATCAATAGTAACATGATTCTTTCTCATCCAGAGTGAAATGAATGGGATAAGTTAGCTACAGAATGGGGAAAATGCAATGATTCTCTCTTTTCCTCCTTTATCAGATTTATGGCTTTTTGGGCTGACTATGCTGATAGGACAGTTTTCTCAAACTTAACCTGGGATGTGGGGCAGTAAGGAGGGGGCATTGGAGCTACTTTATTGTCTTTATGTATATGCTAAGAAAATGACCAACTCTCTCAGTCATCCCTGACAGGGTAGAGTATGAAGAGTGAGTTCAGGAAGAGCTAGAAATATATTAAAAACTTATGCTAGATCTGGATGTCTGAGATAGAGGTAATATAACAATGCTTTGTAAATAAGGGGAATGGGGATTGTTCCCTGGGTCTCTGAAAACCTGAAGGATGGGCTCCATCACCCCTTCATCTCCTCCAGGCTCTAACAGCAGCATCCCAGGGTCTGCTCAACTGTGGCGTATATGGCTGGACACAGCACAAGTTCCACCAACTAAAGCAAGAGGCTCGGCGTGATGCAGATACCCAAACACCATTATTATGCTCACAGAAGAGATTCTATAGCAGAGGGCTAGAGCCATTGGAGCCCACCCTTGCTTTTGCTACCAACACCTCCACTGTTCTTTGAAACTATAATACTGAACATACAGGAACTAGAATTATTCCACACAAATGGATTGGAAAGAATTTAGAGAAAGATATCTTAAGGTTTTTTATAACCATACCCTAAACTGTGGAACTGAAAGGGACTACACCCTGGTTAGGTTCCAAAGACCAAGTCATTATGTGAAATTGGCATTATGTGAAAATGGAGGGTCTGTTTCTTCCATTTCAGTTATTATAGAGGTCCATATTGTCTGTGGGATAGCAGCTTCCCAATAACTCCAAGAGGCAGAAAATGCAGGTGGGCACTATATGTACCACTGGTCACGTTAATGTGCCGAATAGTTGGATAGTAGATTTTTTACTATTGTCATAAATGCGAAATGTCGGATAACGAGATAGTAAGTGAGGAGAAGGTGTATAGTTCCATGGTTAGTAGCTATTCTGGGTGAATTGGGCAGGATATCTCCAGTTATTCCCAGATTCACTAGTGGTTCTTAAAATCTTCTCTGTTCAAAGAGGTGAAGCTGCCTTCCACCTGATACATAGACTCATATTACCTCAAGAATATTAGATTTGTTTAAATATCTTCTAGAAAAAATAAATTCCAAGTAATTTTTTATACGTGTCATTTTCAGGCTTTCTACTTTGTAGTTGTAGGGGAAGTGGTGGGGAGGGAGACATTCAGCAACTTTCTCAGGTCTTACTGTTGCTATTAGTCTCTCTGAGGTTGGACATAGAAAGACCTGGGTTTCTGTTCTTTAAATAGTTTTTGAAACTCTGAGAAGAATCAAGGACAACAGCTATCAAAAAAAAAAAAAAAAAGAAAAGAAAAAGAAAAGAAAATGCCAGCGGGCTCCTCAGGCACACTGTATCTTAGTCTCTTATATGTTCATTGTTTTAGGACTTGAACAATAGGGACCATCTGCCCTAGAAAATTAAGGCCAACCTTTTGAAGTTACAGAGGATAATAAGATTTAACAGAAATCAGGACTAAAAGATTAGAAACTCTTAGAAACTCTAGAAATCAATAGCTCTCAACTCTAGTTTACAAGCAGAAGTTCAAGGTAGGTTTCATAGTGCCTGGACAGGGTTAATTTCCAGGTTTGGATCATACAGACTTTCCAATTTTGTAGGTCAGAATGGTCTAATATCAGTTTCACGTGGTTCAACCTAAAATAAAAACCAAACAAACCTGTTGCCATGGATTCGATTCTGACTCATAGCTACCCTATAGGACAGAGTAGAACTGCCCCATAGGGTTTCCAAGGAGCAGCTGGTGGATTTGAACTGCTGAGCTTTTGGTTAGCAGCCCAGTTCTTAACCAGTGAATGAATGAACAAGTGAATGAATGACGAATAGGTAGAATTTGAACCTTTGAGAAGGAGAAGTTTCCCAGACTACAGAGCCTCATTCAGGAATGGGAATGTCTATCTAATCTGTTTCTTTGTCTTGGTGGTTGTCTTTCCTAATAAGTGTTGGTTGTCTTTCCAGTTAAGTTATGATCAAAGCCAACCTGAGGCCAGGGCACCTCATACTATGATGCCCAAACAAAGGAAAAGCCAAATGACAAGGTAACTGAGATGATAAACAACTTAAGTTTCTGAAACTAATAATCAGGTACTTCTCACCTGATGACTTACCTTGGTCTTCCAAAGCAAAATCCTTAAGGTTAGAGAAAATGGACATGATTGTAATGGGAGGATACTCTGGAAAGTAAGTTCCAGAGCCCTTTTCATAGTAGCTCTCTATAGATATGTTAGAGAGCTTAATAATAACTCTTTAGGTTTTAGGCCATGGACCTCAGCCCTAGCATGGAGAGTAACATGGCCCCTTGCTATGTTAAGATCACATCTTGAGGCCTCTCATTGAACCAAAGCTCTGGAGACTTGATTTCTGTATAGCATAGAACAAGAAAGAATGTCTCTAGACCTAGGGAGCTTCTTTAAATTTAAAAACTAACAGGCATTCAGCATATATAAAAACAGATGGAGACTCAAAAAAAATTTTTTTTTCCATCTCCATAGTCCCTGTGGGACACCAGAGCTAAGGAGTCCAATTCTTAAAATGTTCCTTCAGTATCATTTCACATTTGGCTTTATTACCAGAAAGAAGGTAATTATCAGATGTTTGTCAAGTTTGTTCATCTTGCTGCTCCGGTGAATTTTTTGCATTGACACTGGTCTTAGATCTTCTGTGGACGTAGGCAAGCAAAAAGATAGTAGGAATGAGGAATAATGAAAGGATAGGCAAGACCCAGATTAGGATTTTCAGCATTTTGCCATACTGAGAGTCAGAGGGGACATGTGAAGCTGGGCCGCTGTCCAAACTGCCCCCATAACCTTCAAATTCACATGTTGGAGGGGCATAGCCATAGGCACAGTGGCAGTTCTTAAAATTGTTGCAAACACCCCTTCCATGACACTTTTCCAGGTTGCAGTCATAGTGGAGCACAGTGGTATCTAAGCAAGTTTGATTGATACAGATCTTCTGTGGACCACATGGGGTACCATCCTTCACCTCCCCCTCATCAGCCCTATCTATGGCTTCAAAAAACTCTGCACCCCAACACCATGAGTCCTGCATTGGGAACTGGATAAGTGTGTGATATTTTTCAATGCGTGGGAGCTTTTGAATGTTTTCACATAGCAGCCTCCCACATTTTACATCTTTGGCCTTGCACTTGTGGAAGATCTTGAACATCCCTTTAGACTCACTGCCACAGTTCCCAAACCTGTCCCCCTTGGTATTCATGTAATGATAGCACTTTTCCTGCGCCACCCTAGTGCCCTTTCCAAAGATTTTAACACACTGATTCTCCAGGCTTTTGCACTCGCCCTGGTAACAATAACCTTGTTCTTTGCAAGGGGTGCCATCTTGCTTGTAGGTATCTTCCTGGCACCACTTGGAGGTGCCATTACAGTACTCTGGGAGGTCACACTCATCCACACTGGGGCGGCAGAGTGTGGTTGCCTTTAGAAATTTGCAGTTTTTACAGCAGGATCCAAATGCACAATCTGAGCCCTTCTTTAGCCGACATGAAGGCAGACAACAGTGATCCTTTTGACAATCAAGGTTACTGCCACAATCACATTCTTCTCCTTGATCCACTATCTTATTCCCACAATATGACTTTCCAAAGGAGCTCTGGAGCTCAGGTTTATTAAACAGGCAGTCCCCTCCATGCTTATACAACAGCTGGTAGAAGTGGTGGAAGCTGCAGTTGCTGAAGCCCATATCTACGGTAATAAATTCATGCATAGTACAAAGATTCTGGCCGTGGCACTTGCAGGCCACATGGTCATGCTTCATTCCCAGGTTGTGGCCAAGCTCATGTGCCATGAGAGCTGCCAGATGGGGTATATCTTCATGAGAGAAAGATGCCACGCTGGTTGCATTCTTATCAGTGCAGATACCACTGAGAAATGCATGGCCCTGGTACTTTCCAGGGTTTTGGCCAGTAATCATGTGAGCAACATCATGCTTCACCCTTCTCAAAAGATGCCAGTTTCTCCATTGGTTAAAATTTTGAAGCGTTTCCTGCAGATTCAGGGAAATTTGCACTAGGTTTCTCTCTGTCCAGATCTCTAACCCAGTAAGTACTACTTTCACATTTAGCTCCCTCATGTACCTGTTGACCAGAGCGTGGACATCCATTACCATCTGCATCGTCTTGGTCACATTACTATTCCACATTTGGAACCGCTTGTTGTCAACCACAATAAACATTTCTACATACTTGGGGTGTGACCACATATAAGACATAGGAGCTGAGAAGGGTTCTATTCTGCTCTGAAATGGTGAATTGGTTAAGAGCTCTTCCTGTTCTTCTCCACTGACTGCACAGGACCTGCTTGATTTTAGGGATATGCTGTAAACCATGTGCTCAAATTTCTTTGAGGTGTATATAGGCTTGATGCCAAAGACAGTGCCATGTAAGCTTAGGATTCCCTTTAGCCCTGAGCAAGTGCTGATAGTCACAAGAGAATCTGTGTCACCCTCTGAGTACCCATCATAGTAGCAGTCATCCTGTGTAAAAGGCACGTCCAAGCCTAGTTTCCCATTTTGATGTGTGTAAACAGGGAAGTTCCTGACAAACAATCCTCTCTTTTGCTTCAAGTTAATAATATGCCATTTTCCTCTTATCAGAAGAACATAAGACACCTTTTCTGCTTTTTCTTCCAATCCTCTGAACATCATCAGGTTCCTAGGGATTACTATTTCATGATAAAGAGTTTCCTGCTTACAACGCATCCCTTGAAGAAGAGACCCTATCAGCAACAAGATGACATGCAGCCTTATAAGGGAGGGGCCCATTTTCAAATACCCCATCTGGTGACTCTTAGATGAAAAGGCATTGCAAGGCTTACCCATGATCAGTTGATTTCATAGGAGAAGGAGCAGGAGGGAGGCAAAGTACCTAACTGGCGATGTCATTTTCATGGCCCAAGTGAAACAGCTAATGATCGTGGACCTCTGTCTCTCAGTAGTCTCCTAGGACCCAAATCTTTGTCAGTGACACATTAATTTGGGAAAAGCTCAAAGCTATGCTGCCTGCCAGAAGGATAGCTTCTCTCATCCCTGAGTATTACATGATGACACCTGCCTTTTGATTATGTCTCTTTCTACTCCTGTTGTGTTCTCTTCCTTCAGGAATAGACTTACTCCACGGCCTTCGTCAAACAACAGTTTCAGTGCTCCTCAGCTGAGCTGCTGTTGTCTTCATAGAGGAGTATACCAAGGAGAGGAAGCTTGCAGAGGTCCAGCCAGTACTCTGACCCAGGATCAGGCCCCGAGAAAAGAAAAAAATTTATCCTTTTTACCTCAGTCCCAGTCCCCGCAGAACACCCTTCCCCCACCCCTTCTGGTATCCGTTATTCTTGTGAGTCGTTGAAACTAAAGGTTCCAGAGCAGGGGGTTATGGATCTCTTGGCAGGTCCCAGGGCTCTGCTGCCCGACGCCTCTTCCCTACTCCGTACCACACAGCCCATTTGAAACCTCAAACCTTTCATGCCTCCAGAAGAGTTTGTGGGCCTGGGCTTTTACCTAACCACTTTGTTGTCCTAAGACCTTCTCTAGATGATCATTCACCTCATTTAAAGTGACCAGTCTTGAGCCTTGGTCTAAAATTCCCTCTGTGTCTGAGGTATGGGCTCATCCCTATCCTATGTGATAAATGATATTTACCCATTAGGGTGAGGGGCAGCAGTTATGAAGTCCCAAATATGAAAGGCCAGGGATTAGCTTCAAAAAAGGTATAGCAAGTCCTGGAATTATCAGTAGGTCTTTCCTGGAATACTTGAGTAGCAACACAAGGAAAAGAGATTAGGTACTTGGGAATCTAAGGAACCGACTTCCAGAGTCTAGAGAATAAATCTCCTCTCAGATGTACCCATATTTAGGGCCCCAGTATCTTTTGCCCAAGGCCAAGATAGACCTACACAGTATGCCAAGTATAATCTTAAACTATACATCCCTGATGGAGGCATTGTAATTTATTTGGTTCTTCCCTGAGAAATATTCCCCATAGAAGCACACATGCACATCCAGCATCCCATCTTATAATCAATTTCATGAATTAGGGGGAAATTTAACATTTCTATTCTGATATTAAAATTTTTTTTAATTAATGAACTTTTTTAGAGTAATTTTATGTTTACAGAAAATTTGAGCAGAAAGGACAAAGTACTCTATTTTTCCCTCCTCCCCCTCCTCCACAGTTTGTCCTATTATTAACATCTTGTATCAGTGCAGTCCGTTTGTTAAAATTTTTTGTTCTGTATTTTTTAAAAAAATTTTACTGTGTTTTTCACTTCAAGGGACAGAGTAGCAGGGGCAGGGGCCTGGGGACCATGCTTTCAGGGGACATCTAGGTCAATTGGCATAACGAAGTTTTTTAAGAAAATGTTCTGCATCCTACTTTGGTGAGCGGCGTCTGGGGTCTTAAAAGCTAGCGAGTGGCCATCTAAGGTGTATCAATTTGTCCCAACCCGCCTGGAGTAAAGGAGAATGAAAAACACCATGGACACAAGGAAAGTATTAGCCCAAGAGACAGAAAGGGCCACATAAACCGGAGACTTCATCAGCCTGAGACCAGAAGAACTAGATGGTGCCTGGCTACCACCAGTGATCGCCCTGAGAGAGTCACAACAGAGAGTCCCTGACGGAGCAGGAGAAAAGTGGGGTGCAGAACTCAAATTCTAGTAAAAAGACCAGAGTTAATGGTTTGATTGAGACTGGAGGGACCCTGGAAGACGTGGCACCGGGGCTCTCTGTTGACCCAAGACTGAAACCATTCCCAAGGCCAACTCTTCAGACAAAGATTAGACTGGACTATGGGATGTAAAATGATACTCGTGAAGAGTGTGCTTTTTAACTCAAGTAGATACATGAGACTAAATGGGCAGCTCCTGTCCAGAGGCAAGATGAGAAGGCAGAGAGGGTCAGGAGCTGGTTGAATCATCACGGAAATACAGAGTAGAAAGGAAGAGTGTGCCGTCACAGTATAGGGAAAGCAAGTAGGGTCACAAAACAGTGTATGTATAAATTTTTGTATGAGAGACTAACTTGAATTGTAAACTTTCACTTAAAGCACAACAATAAAAAATAATAAAATTTAATTGTGTTTTAGGTGAAAGTTCACAGCGAAAATTAGTTTTTCGTTCAAAAATTTTATACACAAATAGTTTCATGATGTTAGTTGCAGTCCTCACAATGTGTCAGCACCCTCCCCCTTTCCTTTTCCACCCTGAGTTCTCAGTGTCCATTCGTCCAGTGTTCCTGTGCATTCCTGCCTTCTTGTCGTTGCTTTTGAGGAGATGTCGCCCATTTGATCTCGTATATTTGATTGAACTAAGAAGCACGTTCCTCGCATGTGTTATTGTTTGTTTTATAGGCCTGTCTAATCTTTGGCTGAAAGGTGGACTTTGGGAGTGGCTTCATTTCTGAGTTAGCAGGGTGTCCAGGGACCATTGTCTTGGGGGTTCTTCCAGTCTTTGTCGGACCAGCGGGTCTGGTCTTTTTTGTGAATTTGAGTTTTGTTCTACATTTTTCTCCCACTCTGTCCGGACCCTCTGTTGTGATCCCTGTCAGAGTAGTAGGTGGTGGTAGCGGGGTACCATCTAGTTTTTCTGGGCTGAGGCTGGTGGAGGCTGTGGTTCGTGTGGTCCATTAGTCCTTTGGACTATTATTTTCCTTGTGTCTTTAGTTTTCTTCATTCTCCTTTGCTCTGAATGTGCTGCAACCAATAGATATATCTTAGATGGCCATTCACAAGCTTAAAGACCCCAGATGCTTCTTAGCAAAGTAGGATGTAGAACATTTTTTTATGGCTATGGTATGCCATTTGACCTAGATGACCCCCGAGACCATGGTCCCTAGCCCTAAGCCCCAGTAACTCAGTCCCTCAAGGTGTTTGGATGTGTCTAGGAAGCTTTTCATTTGTTAAAATTAATGAACCAATATTGATACATTATTAACAAAAGTCCATAGTTTACATTAAGGATCACTCTTTATGTTATACAGTTCTGTGGACTTTGACAAGTGCATAATGTTATATATTCACCATTATGCAGTAAAACCTGTGAAAGCCAGAACCTGTGTAAGGGGGAAACCTGTCAGAGAAGGAAAACTCAGTTGTTTTCCACTAAAACGAGCGATAGAGAAGTGGTAAGAGTGCAACCTGTCAAAGGCAGTCCTGGCGAGTTCTGGCTCTCAGGGGTTTCACTATAGTATCATATACAATAGTTTCATTGCCCTAAAAACACCCCGTGCTACACTTTTTCATCCCTTTGTCCCCCCAGACTCCTGGCAACCACTAATCTTTTTACAGTTCTCTAGTTTTGCCCTTTCCAGAATGTCATAAAATTGGAATCATATAGTAGGTAGCTTTTTCAGGCTGGTTTCTTTCACTTAGTGTTATGCATTTAAATCTGCCATCCGTGAGCATAGAATCTCTCTCCATTTATTTAGATCTTCTTTAATTTTTCATTGGAGTTTTATAGTTTTCGCCACATAGATCTTATACATATTTTGTTAGATTTATATGGTAACGGTTTTTCTTTGGGGGGGCGGTTTACACTAAGTATTTCATTTTTTGGAGCTAATACAAGTGATATTGTGCTTTTAATTTCAAATTCCAATTGGTCATTGGTGCTATATAGGAAAGCAGTTGACTTTTATATATTAACCTTGTATCTTTCAACCTTATAAGCTGCAGGAGATTTTTGTTGTTGTTGATTCTTTGGGATTTTTTAAATAGAAAATCATGTCATCTACAAACAAAGACAGTTGTCCTACCTATCCAGATACACCTTTTATTTTTTTTTTGTCTTATTGCCTTAGTTAGGACTTACTAGTACAATGTTGAATAGAATTGGTGAGGAGGGACATCCTTGCCTTGTTCCTGATCTTACGGGGAAAATTTCCAGTTTCTCACCATCAAGTATGATTTTAACTGTAGGTGTTTTGTAGTTGAGGAAGTTCCCCTGTATTCCTAGTTTGCTGAGAGTTTTAAAATCCTGAATAGGTGTTGGATTTTGTCAAATGCTTTTTCTGTATCTGTTGATATGATCATACGATTTTTCTTCTTTAGCCTGTTGATGTGATCAGTTACATGAACTGATTTTCACATGTTGACCTGGAATAAATCCCACTTGTCCATCGTGTGTAATTCTTTTTACACATCATTGCATTTTACTTGCCAGTATTTAGTTGGGGATTTTTGCATATACATTCATGAGGAATATTGGTCTGTAGTTTTCATTTGTAATGTTTTTATCTGGTTTTGGTATTAGAGTAGTTTTGCTGGCCTCACAGAATGAGTTAGGAAGTATTCCCTTTGTTGCTATTTTCTGGCAGAGATTGTAGAGAATTGGTGTCATTTCTTTCTTAAACATTTGGTAGAATTCACAGTGAAACCATCTGGGCCTGATGCTTTTGTTTTGGAAAGTTATTAATTGTTGATTCAATTTCTTTGATAGATACAGACATGTTTAGGTTATCTATTTCTCCTTGTGTGTGTTTTAGTAGATATTGTCTTTCACGGAATTGATCCATTTCATCTGTTATCAAAATTGTGGGCATAGAGTTGTCCTCAGTATTTCTTTATTATCCTTTTAAGGTCCATGAGATTAGTAGTGATGGCTTCTCTTTTATTTTTGATGTTAGTAATTTGTGTCTTCTCTCCTTTTATATTGGTTAGCTTGGCTACAGGTTTATCAATTTTATTGATCCTTCAAAGAACCAACTTTTGG